TTTATTATATTTATTTATTTTAGTTTACTAAGTTTATTTTAAAATAAAAAAAAAAAAAAAAAAATTAAATTTTCCAAGAACTTTTCTGATCTGAAATTGTCCTAAATTGTCTGATCCGGTATAATAGACTTTCATATTCAGAATTACTAAATTGTTCAGAATGTTTCTATTTCCGCGTCATGTCATCCGCTACACTATATTTCATCGAAATAATATACGAAACCATCTGTAGTTCTCCCTTCAAATGTGACGTTCAATCGTATCGTTTTCCTGACAGACAGTCCAATCACGAATCGTCATTCGGTAGCACGCCCGTTTCTCTTCTCTGTCTGCTCATTCATCTCACCATCGTGCACTCACACCACTTAACCGTCGATCAATCGTGAATCGTGGATGGTGCTTATGGCAGGTGAATGTATCGCGCAGATAACATCGCCGTTCGAAATGGAGTCGATCGCTTGTAATCGCTGACTTATCGCATCACGTTTGATTGGTCCTTAATGATTAGAATCAATCAACATGAATAATATTTTTTTTTCTCCATTTACGCGAATTGACATAATGGCCCTTCGCGTAAGTGCTGCTCACGAGATTAGTATCATTTCCGAAATAAAAATTGAAATTTTTGATATAAAAATAAATTGAAAAGAAAAGTATCTAAATTTTCGAACAAAAAATGTAATAAGTTTCAGGTCTAGTCATTAAACATGAAATATTTTCCAATTATGCATCGTGTATTTGATCGAAATTAGAGCGATGCTTGTTAAATCGATAATTCGCTTATAATTCTGTACTCTTGATAGCCCCTCTGCGAATGCCAATATTACCTTTATTTGTCCTACTCGTAAAACGTTTCAGGTATATAAATTAATACCCATCGCTTGGTAATTAATTGCAGAAGAATTTTGCAGATACAAATATACACGCATATATAAGACATTTATATTGCCGACAAAACCATCAGGCCGTAACTTGTGACTCATATTTTCTGTTACCAAGGACTTAACATATTGCGCGGCAAATCGGTAAATAAATGTTTCACCCGACTCGTCAGCGTGTCGCTTGTTTTTCAGGCATATGGATCAACGGCGAGATCTCGTTCGCGACGATAGATTTCTCCGCCACGGTTGGCGCATTGAGACGATCGATCGAGAGAGCGAAAAGGAAGCAGGTGTCTCTCGCCAGCTCGGCGCGATAAATACGGGCGCGCGCTCGGCCAATATGCATTTTTAAAATTTGGTGCGTCCAAATGAGGTCGTAAATACGGGCTGTTCTACGTAATGAGCGTCTCGGCGAATACTCACCTGTAGGAACATTTCGCCGTCGAGGTGATGATGGTCGTAAGCGGCGAGCGCCGCCAGTTCTCTCGCCCTGTAGTGCGAGTCGTGATGTGAGTTCTCTTCCTTATCCTTGTGCATCACCACTGTAACAGAATTAAAACATGTCATAAAGATAAACCCTTGATAACTCATAAAATCAGTGTAATGAAAATCAGCCGTCAATGTGCTCGTTACGATCTTACATACTCGCCCACAAAAGATTTATTTGTCCGATATTATGAAAACACTTAAATTATTGTACAACGTATGATTCTTGGAAAACAGTAAATAACAATAAAAAAGTACGTGAACTAAGTGCAGGTGTCGGAGCGCAAAAGATATTGCAAATAAAAACAGAAACAGTCTTTGTTGCGCTTCGACATCCATGCGTTTCGTTTACAATCTTTATTTTTGTTGTTGTTTTTTTTTTATTCAACTTATTATAAATATTTGTCGTAAATAATGTATACACTGTACATTTCTAACAATTCTATTGAGATTCTTTCCACATCAACCGGACTAATCTCTAACATTCCCTGACAGTTGTAAGGCTCGAAATGAAGAAAGAAAAAAATGGTCACTCTATGGAAAAAAGGCACATTAACACGATAATATACAACACCGAACATAAAAACCGTCGGCGAAACACCGTCGAGATCGTGCACGGAGAGAAAGGATAATTTCGACGGCGCAATTAAATTTCAATCAAGCGGTCTCGTGGCATATTCGTCCGCGAATCTTAATAAGGCACCCTCCGCCCCTCTTGGCCCCTTTTTTTACCATGCCGACCACAAATCACGGGACTGATTAGAGGGCTAAGCGAATGGCCATCGACTCGTCGTCGTTCCTCGGCACACGAATGCGAAAACAAGAACCCCCTCGCGCAACCGGCGGGTAATCAGCTTTACGATTTCTTTATTTCATGGCGTAAAGTACGGTAGGCAGTTTCTTGTCGCCAGCTGAGAACTTACAATCCGCGATTTACGATGACCATTTTTACCGAAATAGGCGCTGCCTTTTTCGAAATCACAATCATTAATACTTGGATTTTTCAAATTGTTGACAAACGAGTAGCTAAAAAGAACAATATTCAGTTTATCTTTTTATAATTATTGTAAGATACATTTATAAGATAGGAATAATTTAGAAATATATTGTGTAAGAAAAAAGAGAAGATAAAATATATATGACAAAACGAATGAATTAGCGCAAGATGCCGCACGAAGGACGTTCATCGGCGATTTGCATAAGCGATCGTAGATCTCGATCGGAGATTGTGCCCGGCAGAAAACGACAACGGCGGAATTAATACCGTGCGGAAAATGTCTGAGATAAGAGCAAAGACATATTTCCGGTTCTTTGTTCGATGGAGATAATCGGCATTGCTCGAAGCACATAAATTTGATTCGTTTCATCGTGCAATGCGATGCATATTTCGCGCACTGCGACTGCCTGGATTAAAAGTCATTAAAGTCAAACATAACAAACCGCGCGCCGTTATCAGATTTATCATATTATATATTGTAACGTCGGTTATAGTTTGCAGATTTTTCTGAAAGATTAAGACAACGATGACGAAGGGTAACTGAAAGGGTGACGGGCGACAGACACTTTTTACCATACGTAGCGTAAATTTATGTTTCTCAACGATAATTAAGGCGATTATTGTCAAAGATATAAATTTGGCCGACGTTTCGTTGTAGATTCAATGATCGATATTGGTGCTGTTTGTCATATTTAAATCGATAAGCGTTCTCCTAGTTTGACAAACGTAAGTCGCGATGCTAAAATTATTGAAATATCAATTTTTATATCTGACAATGAGAAACAGAAGAAATATTGTCGCTTTCTTTTGCTGTAAATTATATTGCGATACTATAAATCCAGAATAAACGGATCGAAGGAATCGGCGCTTTGTATGGCGCGTTGAAGACGTGACCGGTTTATTATTTAGCGCAACGGTGATCTTGTGTAGTCTAATTATGGCGTGCATATTAAGCAGGAGGCAAGCAGGTGTATGGAACTGTAACAGATCGACGGTGTATTATAGGGTTTAAAAGGAAGTGTCGCTCACATCCTGTCACGTATCGCCATCGTTCCCCGAGTGTGCCGTTAATCCCTTTGCGCTTAAGTCGTTTGGACATCAATAGTCCTTGAATCTTATTTAACCTTAGAAGAAAAAAGTGCGTGTTTAACAAAATTTACGCACAAATTATTTTATACCGTGTAATAAAATAAAGATTGTTGCGAGACATGAATAAAGCAATAAAAGCTATTTGCAAAGTTTGAAATATAAAATAAAACCCAAATAATTAAAATAAAATATTCAAGATACATATAGATATGCAAATACATGGCACTTTTTTTCCTATTTAATTATTTTGCTTTATTGTCCTCGAAATAATTTAGATATAGCGCGCAATTTACAGCAAACGAGCTTCTATCAATATCGCTCGCAGCTCTGTTCAATTACACTTTCATGTATAAATACTTAATGATATTTGTTCACTTCCGCCCTTTCGCAGCACAAATTTTATACCTATTTTTGCCAGTGAATACGTCATGATGATACAGTCAAGTCTCTCCCTTTCAAGCGCTATATTTAAATGTTAATCAATTCGAATATTAATTCTACGAAACTTTCTTCGTCAAAATTTCTTCTCAATGTGTCAATGTGTTACTCAATCACTCATCTATTTCTAGATGCAAACAAACGGAGTTACGGCTGCGTTTCGTAAGTCGAAAATTTAGGCCTTTAATATTCAAGGATATCGATGCGTGCACGAAAGATGCGCGACTCCGCCGACGGCCGCGCATAAAGATTGTGCACGCAATATCGCGAAGCACGTGTAAGCCACGCGACCCTTCAGGCCACGACTGATTCGGATAATCGGCAGAATAATTGCGGCGATAAAAGTCAATTTGAAGGATTTTAGGTCACGGAGGCTTTATTTCACCTGAGAATTTTGTGCCATTGCAATTGAGGAAATTGTATCAATTATCGAGTTGAATTTCACGAAGAGTAGCGCGATGACATTTCAACGTGAATATATATTACATAATACAGTAATTAATTCTGATAATTCCATTATTTCAATAATCATATTTGTCTGGCGATAAAAAAAATCAAAGAGCCAGTTTTCGTATTTCACCTGCGTAATCTTTTTCGTAATATTAAACGAAGGCCGAGACACAAAGCCAAGATACCACTATAAGTGTCATCGTAAAAAGCATTAAATAGGCGGCGGGTTAGCATCGCGAAGCAACGATGCGTGTATCAGGAGATGTGCGAGAGCAGGGCGACGGTCACTCGTAAATAGTCGCACGCAATGTCGTGAAGCACTCGCGTCGCGCCACGCGACTCTCTGGGGCAGAATAGTCCGGGCAGGATCCATTAGGACAACCGTCAGAATGACCGCAGGATACGCGCCGAGCGGACGAGTGTCCTTAAACCGCACGTGCGTATCCGACCATCGGTCAGTCAATTCGATTTTCGATTGCCGTGAGTCCGGATTGGCTCCTCGCTGGTCATTCGGGGCCAACGACCATGCTTAATGCTTCCTGAAACAATGTCTTCTCCGCGACGGGAGGATGCGATTACGAAAACGAAGAAAGCGGAAATAGGATATGTGCAGAATGTTTTCGGTAAATAAGATGGCAAGGATACTAGCGTGCAATTGTCATCATAAGCACTAAGAGTATTATTTATATAATTAAAATAAAATGTATAGTAATTCTTGATTATAGATTCAATATTTTCCAAATAAACGCAGAAGATGCTTAAAGGAAGAAAAAGAACCGCAATTATTGTGGCATGAACTTGATATATGCCGTGAAGATAACCGATCCTCCCGCTTCTCTTTATACATCGTATAATTATACTTAAAATGCAATTATATCGATAATGCAGGGTCAACAATGGCCAACGGCGGAGTTGAAAAAAAGAATATGCGAACCTCGCCGGAAAAACGCACGTGGACGCGAGCGACAAGCATAATCGCCGGCCAGATAATGTCAAAAGAAGAAAAAAAAGATTAATAAAAAAAGAGAGAGAGAGAGAGAGAACGGAAAATAATGCGACCGGCGCAGATGCCAATCTCGCTGGTGTGGCGAACGTGGAATTCTGGTGGAAAGGTCGCGCCATCGCGATGCGCCGCGCCGCCGCGCGCCGGTGCAATCAGTAATAATAATTACACTTCCTCCGGCAAGGTCAGTTTATGAACACATATACGCGCCGGAGAGGAACGCAGGAAGCGGCGGGATCTGAAAGCGGAGGCGGAGGCCAATCAGAACGTCGCCCGAGCTTCCAGCGGGAGGAATGGCGCTGGGGAACACTGTGCGTTCGCCTCTCTTCGGTGTTTACGCTACGGTCAGCCTCACCATGCTCTCGCAACCTTATCGCCCACGCCTGTTACACACGTCAACGAGCCTACCCCGACATTGCTCTCACTTCCCGCTGGAAATTGCCGCAATTGAATGTACCGCGTTATTTTTAGAAATTATTATTAGACGTAAGATGCGAGAAAAGAGATCCTTCACCGCGTCGAGCGTGACGATTTATTATCAAAGTCGCGCAACAGCTGATCGAAAAGTGCAAAATGCTCTGCAAACTTTGGGAATAAAATGTATAAAGATATTTCATTATTAGTTACTTTTTAGCTGGATAAGATTAGATATATGTGTATTTGCATATTTTCTAATTTATCAAAGGATGTACAAGAATTTACATATAATAAGAGATTTAATTAAATATGTAAAGCATCTACACGCCGCACACTCCTGGCACTTTCATCGTAGTACATAAATTAAGCAGACAAAGCGTAGAATTAATCATCCATTTATCTTTTTTTCATATCAACAGATTCTGATTTAAGGACCTCCGTATATGATCACGAAACCTGGGGTCGAAATTCCACGCTTTCGCCCGAGCTACGTCAACGACCGTTTTCATTAGATCGTCCCTGCGATCTACTCGGTCGCTTCATTAAGCACCGCCGCCCTCATTTATATAGACGTCTTTGAAGTGCAAATAATGACGCTGCTCCTCAGGGGTGCCCTTCCTGCCTACCTTTCCTGGTGACTTGCGTTTTACGTACCCCGCCGC